CAAAACAAAATGATTTTGAACCTAGTTCCTCAATTTCATCTCATTTTCAAAACCAAGAGAACATGGATTTTGAACCTAGGAGAAGTAAAAGAACACGTAAAGAAAGAGATTTTGGTTCAGATTATTATGTATATAATGTAGATGGAGAACCATTGTCTTTTCAAGAAGCTTTAACTTCTTCTAATTTTGATTTTTGGAAAGAAGCTATTAATGATGAAATGGATTCTTTGATTTCTAATAAAACTTGGAAGTTGGTAGATTTAGCTCCTGGTTGTAAAACAATAGGATGTAAATGGGTTTTGAGAAAAAAACTTAAACTGGATGGAACCATAGATAAATATAAAGCAAGGCTTGTTGCAAAAGGTTTCAAACAAAAAGAGGAACTAGACTTTTTTGATACCTTTTCACCTGTAACAAGAGTGACTTCCATTAGAGTACTTATAGCTGTAGCCGCCGTTCATAACATGCTCATCCATCAAATGGATGTTAAAACGACATTTTTAAATGGAGACTTGCATGAAGAAATTTATATGGATCAACCTGAAGGTTTTGTTATGCCTGGGCAAGAGGACAAGGTATGTAAATTGACTAAATCCCTTTATGGTTTGACACAAGCTCCAAAACAATGGCATGAGAAATTTGATACTTGCTTGATAGAACATGGTTTTAAATCAAGTGAAAGTGATAAATGCATATATTTTGGAATTTTCAATAATTTTCATGTTGTTATATGTTTGTATGTTGATGATCTCTTGATTTTTGGTTCAAGCTTAGAGGTGATTAACACTACTAAGTCATTATTAAATCAGCATTTTGACATGAAGGATTTGGGTGAGGCTAATGTAATTCTTGGCATGAAAATAACTAGGAATTATGATGGAATCTTTCTTGATCAATGCCATTATATAGAAAAAATTTTGAAGAAATATAACTATCATAATTCTAGACATGTTATGACGCCTTTATCACCTAGTGTGCATTTGTATCCCACTTTACATGATAGAGACATTCTCAATCAAAAGGAATATGCTAGTATCATTGGTAGTTTACGGTATCTTACTGATTGCACTAGACCTGATATTTCTTATGTAGCTGGAATGTTAGGGAGATTTACTAGCAAGCCTAATTCCTTTCATTGGGATTGTGTTAAACACTTAATGGGATATTTATGTGCTACCAAAAATTATGGTTTATTCTATCAAAAACACCCTACTATACTTGAAGGATTTTGTGATGCTGACTGGAACACCTTGTTAGGTGATTCTTTATCTGTTTCAGGGTATATTTTTAAGATTGGTGGTGGCGCTGTGAGTTGGAAATCTAAAAAACAACAAATAATTGCAAAGTCAACTATGGAGGCAGAGATGATATCATTAGCACTAGCTTCTGAAGAAGCTAGTTGGCTAAGAGATTTGTTGTTTGAAATTCCTCTATGGGAAAAACCAGTGCCTCCTATACTTATTCACTGTGATAGTATTGCTGCCATTTACAAGGTGAATAACCGTTTTTATAACGGTAAATCCAGATCTATTCGAAGGAAACATAGTATTGTGAGGTC